ATTTCAGTTTTAATTTATCGCAATTGATCACACCATGTGTGGGATTCACTTTGGATCGGGTACGTTTCCTCCTGTTGCAAAAATATCGTAACTGATTATAGTTATTACACATATTACAGAAATAGTCACGGCAATTACGGCAATAGTTGACTCAATTCCTTATCGTTATCTAGCATGTTCGCTTATTTAGTATTTGATTTGAATATTTACCAAACACAAACACGATTGCTTATTTCTATTCGATGCGATTGCCTATTTCATATTTAACTTGGTCTAATTACTTATATAGTATGTTTATTTGATCACCGATCTAGCATATATTTTTATTTATTTTTTTATTTTTTCGGTGTTAAGGTGAGGCCTTGCCTCGTGATCTTTTATTAACGATAGTTAGTACATTACATGTATTACTACATATACATTCTGTAACGGTGAAGAATCTAATGACAACACATATGCGGATTTAGCCTCTTCTATGTGTGACAATTTAATTTTACGATTTGTTCAGGACTTTACTACGTTAATTCATTAATTCATGCATAAAACATTAACAGTATTCTCAAAAACGGACGGCGTGCACCTCCCTCCTCTTTTATACTACTGTATTCAGAAGCATTTTGTAATCTTGTATTACAACAATGACTTAAGAATTGAACGCCATGCTTTATCGAAACATGCTTGCAACATTTGGAAAGATTTAAAACTTATTAACCCATCTCTTGTGGATTCGTTTAGAAGAATTGCTAATGATGCAGCACAAAGGTTTTACAGTACGAGTTTAAGGTCAATCTGCCTATTATCAAATATCAAGAAAAAGATGCACACTCATCATCCTTAGTAGGACAATCTTTCGATCAAGATGAACCTGATGTCCAATCTCTTTTAAATGACCTTTTTCCCGAAATTGATTTTTGACGTAATTAACATGCGAAGTTTTAGTAAAATAAGTAATAACGAAAAATTAATCATCAATTTGAATTAGTTGCCTATGTAAAATTAATAATAATTAAATATAAAAAGGTTAGTAAATATGAATTTTTTAACATTAAACATTTTAGCTATATAAATAATTCTCGTAATTTGTATTTTTTTATATAACTATATTTATATTAATTTTTTTCGGATAGGATATTAATAACTCATAGTTTGATTCAACATTTTTATTATTAATGGGCTGAATCAAAAATGTTTCTTTAAACAAATTGGTTTGTTTTATGCTCCACGAAAGTTTCATGAAACAATTTTTTTATAAAATTAATAGTAATTTGATTTATTTAATATAGTAATTTGATGTATCTTAATATTTATATTAAAAATCAGCATAATCATGGAAGCTATTCGACAATTCCAACTGATGAAATAACATTAGATGATTTTCGAAATCATTGGATAGTATAATTATGACAATTATTGGATAGTAGATATTATGACTTAGATTGGCTTTGTAAAATAGATACATTCAATTCTTTCTGTAACGAACTGACGGCTCTGGAAAAAAAAAAGTTCGTTATGGAAAATTACTATGTTTTCTTAAAGACCCATTGCCATTTCTATACAAACTATTATAAAAATTATAAAAATTTTGACTTCGTTTTACCCAGAATTCGTTTGTTATATCCAGAGTCGACTGTAATTTATACTTTATAGCGAAAGGGCTTTGCAAATTCTTAAATTTCTATTATATTGATAATTAACTACCGTACAGGCGCGAAATAACGCGCAGGGGCGTTATTTTGAAATTTGGCCCGAATTAAGCTTAATTTAGGCCAAAATTTGAAATCAAACCCCTGCGCGTTATTTCGCGCTTGTACGGGTATATATTTGTAAATATTTACTTCTGTATATTCCATTACAAATGCTTTATCTATAAATATAATATAATCATATAGAATAAATTTTTATTATTGCAGGCTTGTATAAAACAAATTATATAGGCAATTATAGTAAATGATGACTATATTTAATCAAATACATAAATCTTTGAAAATTTTAGTTCTAAAAACAGTTACTAAGTTAATTTTTAACCCGTTTGTTTTTTTTAAAAAAAATAAATAAAATAAACATTTAAAACAAAAATTTCGCACTTGTTAAAATTTTTTTCTACAAAATTTTTTTAATCTAAGATCAGTAGATTTTCAATATTACAAATACAGTATAGGAGTTCTAACACCTTTGACCAATAATTTATTATAATCCTAGAAAGATAATTTCGTTTATATGTATTATATTGTCATTATTTTATTAGTTCTAAGGTCGATTTAATTCGATTTAGTTTTTGCGCATCGGATTTTATATTTTCAAGATAATCAAAGTTAATCTCTTTTTGAACTATCAAGAAAGACATTTCTACAAACACAATAAACAGAATAGACCTTGGTTACCTTTATTTAGCTGGCAATATCATGGTCTAATATTAAATAACATTCATATTATATACGAGTTGTGAATAGCAATTTTAAAAATCGGTGATCGGGGAAAAAATATTTGAGTTACGACAATATAAACATTACATATTTGTATATAAGCACAACGATGTTATTTTTTTTCTTGATAACTTTCGTCAAAGAGCATCACCGCACCTTATTTAAACAATGTGTGACAGAACTTTGCTGCCTTTGGTAAAATCTCATTTTTTGTGCTTTGTCATAAAATGAATTATTAGTTACAAAAGATAATTATATAGGATCCGGATACTATTCAACGAACTATGGAAAATTCGAACTTAAAATGTACAAAATGGGTTGATAAAGAGAAGTATAAACCATCGTAAGCTTCAACTATTATTTTATTATGTTAAAATGCTAAAGTAACTAAATTAGCACGTACGTACATATGTACGTACTCATAATCATTAGGTATAATGTTTCATCGGCTTTTTATGAACCTGTTATTCGCGCCGACTCTGGGTTACATGAAAACATTATTCATTCTATGGTATATAGTTTTTTTCACTGCCTGATATTTATCATTGATATATATATATTTGATTATTTATTTCATTTGTTTTATTTAGAAATGGGGACTAGTCCTATCTGAATCCGCCACATCGATACAAGCAATTAATTGTCGAAATGATTCGTTATATAGTTCTTTAAATAATGGTGGGAATCAAATCCTCAGATATTTAAAGAATCACAAGCGATGCATCATTATCGCTCAAGGGTGCACATATTTAAGATTTATTCGAATTCTTATTCAACTTATATTTAATAATTTTAATTAAATAATGTTATGTTTTTAGGTTCTATAAATGGTCTCGTGAACGTAAAACTGAAAGAATACCTTATCTGATCAAGAGAAAGGATGAACAGCTGCTTTTGTTGGCGGGACTTTATAATAAAGTTCAATGTGAATGTAAGTTAAATATAATCATTATTTATATTAAAAAAAGTTATTCAGAAATAAGTGTAATACGTACGTACGTACCTTTTTATTTAGATGGTGATACCCTTTATACATATACCATCATTACGACTTCATCCTCCAAGTTCCTATCATTTATTAATGGACGAATGCCTGTAATCATGGAAAATGAATCGGACTATTTGGCAAAATGGTTAGACCCTAATATTCATTGGGATTCTGAACTGGAGAAACTTTTAGAACCTTATGACGGGGAGTTAATATGGTAATTTATAATTTTTATATTTATTTATTTGTTCATTTTAATGTTCATTGTTCTCAATAACGATGATTTTTAGTTATCCTGTGTCTCAGGATGTAGGAAATGCAAGCAATGACGATCCGAGTCTAATAAATCCTGTTAAAAGAGCCGATATAACTAACTTCTTTCCGGTAAAAAATGATGAATCAAAAGATGCAAATATATCAAGCTCGAAGCAGATGGTTAAACAAGATGATGGTGACGATGTAAAAGGATCAACATCTATCATTTCAATTATACCAGTTAGGCGTCCGTTGGATGAATCGAAAAATAATATAGAAAGAGACGAATTTTTATTAAATGAAGAAAGTCATCTAAAGCGATTATGTGCGCTTCCTCATTCACTTCCCGCTGAAAATCTATCAAATAACGGGGCTTCAAGTACAGAACAATTACAAACATCATTGCCAAACACAATTTCTAGAAAAAAGTCCACATTAAATTTTATAGTACAGAAGCCGAAGTCACTTGATATGAAAAATACGACAAAGACAACTAATGTATTCCCTCCGAAAGATAAATTTTTCAAAAAGAAACCGAAAGCAAAAAACAAGGCGGATGGAACTGCAAAAATTACTAACTACTTTTTAAAATAGGAAGCACAGATGACATGATGTTTACTGACAAGATTATCATTGTCGTCATGCGTTTTTACGTAATTTAATATTATAATTCTTCAATAAGCACTAGAATGTTGATTAGTATTTATTCATGTATAATTATAAGAATAGCTTTCTGTATCACTGAATCAAGTATCTGTAAAATAATCTCTGGTTATTATATAACAAGCAAGGATATTTATTATGTTAAAAGACCTTTTCATTACACGTATTACGTACTTTATAGAAATTAAAAGAATATTCATTAAATTCCTAATATTTTTTTTATTAATAATTCAATTTAGGTTAGATATAAATACCGTTACGTATTCAAAATTTCTTTTTTATTTGTTACCTTGTGTAACAGATAGTAGTCTTGTGATAGCGACAATACATTACACAAGCTAACCTTACATTTTAAATCCAAGAAACAAAAAAAAAATTATTTTTTATTTTTAGCATACAAAATGTCACTGCACAGAATCTACAAAGTAATCTATGAATACTGTATTTTCCAGCTTGCAAATGCAAAATACCACACTGTTTCGTTCATTTTAACTATACCTTATGCAAAATTTCATAATCTGATTAAAATGTTAGGAATTACATCATTTAGAAAAATATACAGTGGAATTTTGTAGTGCCGGTCTAATTGGAGATGACCCTTCTCTTTGGCAAGGCATAATTATAGGGCCCGTAAGTATTTGCCTCGTCATAATATACTAAATAGATGGTACATTTTAGTTTTTAAGCTAATTATAAAATGTCTTTTAACTACCTTTAATTATTGATACACCTTATTTTGGTGATGTGTTTTCCCTTATTATTTGATTTCTGGCAAATTAATTAGCTGGACCGCCTAAGTTACGTATTTAATTCACAGTAATTGTGTTCAAGCAGCGTATACTCTTGTTCAATTTTACTATTAGTATATAATTTTTATAGATAAATTTCACAACTAAAGTTTACCATCCAAACATTGACAATAATGGTTAAATATTTTGGAGAAGGAGTGGAGTCCTGCTCTTACAATCGGTAAGGTAAATAAGTGCTTCGTAATACGTAAAAAAGTTTAAATTACTATATTTTATATTTAAAAAATCCATATATTACGTTTTCAGTACTTTATCTATTCGATACAGGTACAGTCGGCTCCAAAAGTTCATCACGATTACACGAAAATAATATGCAAATCAACGATAAAATATTAATGAATACAGCTGACTCTTGATATAAAAAAAGTCACCGGGTCCAGCCAAAATCCTTCTTATTAAAGACTTATAAAAATTTCAAATATAACTTGTAAATCTTTCTTATGCCAAGAGCTTCTTATTGAGTATATCGACGGTTTCCTATATCGAGAGTTTCTTGTATATACATAATTATCTTGTTTTTGTGTAACCGTGATAAATTAGGAGTCTATTCTAAACTTTTGCTTACGAATCAGATTTTTATGCTAACAAAAAAAATCGATTAAACTATTTCTAACTTAACATCAACCCAAATCTAAATTCAAAATCAGTTTAATGCAATTAGTCTAATAGGTCTCTATATATAAGATAATGGCTTTTACATATTCACTTAACTTATTTATATACAAGATTTATTCTTTAACATGTATCCCGTCGTTTAACGATGGGTCCTAATACTAGTAAATAATTAATTTTAATAAACAGTTTTTAAATAAATGATTAAATGTTTAAAAAAAATACCTTTAACAGCATTAACAACATCTGATATTCTTTGTGTGTTGATAATTTTGCTAGTGTATATATGGTCGGGATGTTTTGGTGAAACAATTGGCAATTCTTTTGCTATTTTATCTGCTTCTAAGAATTGCCTTTTAATTTCATTCGCATCATCTGAACTTTGCATGCATTTATTCCATTCTTCAAGTATATCACATGCATCGAAAGCATCTGGCCGTTTTTCTGGATCAGAATCCATGCACTGCTTAGCAAATTCAATATAACAATCCGGAGTTCCAGGAGAAAATTCTGGCCGCAATCCTTTACAAATTTTTATCGCAAGTCTATGATCAAAATCGTGACCATCAAAAGGTCTTTGTCCAGTTGACATCTCAGACATAATAACTCCAAAGCCATAAATATCGGCAGCTTTTGTAAACTTATCGCCTAATAAAACCTCTGGTGCCACATAAGGCATAACACCATAAATATTACCATTCGAATCATTTTCATTATCCTTTTTGGACAATCCTAGATCTGAAACATAAGATCGCATCTTTTCGCTAATGCCTTTATTTTGCAAAATATTACCACTGTGAAAGTCTTTATGAACATATCCTGCATTATGAACATAATATAAATCGTCAGAAATATCGAAAAGTAGTTTTAATTTAGTTTTCCAGGTAAGATCACGAAAATTTTTTCTTAAAAACATGTGAAGACTTCCATTATCAGCATATTGAAATATCATAAAATGTTCATTTGTTTCTGTATTTAGAGTCAATCCATAAATTTTAAGTTTACTACCAAACAAACCACATGTTATATGATTCTCAAACTTTATTTAATAAATTTAAAGAATTAGTTCATTATTTATTTATTTAAAAATTATTGAATAAGTAGATTTAGCTTACTTCTTTTAAAGAACCAGACAAAGTCTTGAGTGCAACGATGCTGGATTCTTCACGTGATCTGCCATAATTAAAATCATTTCCGTCGATTTTTCGTATACCATCCAACCAGGTTGCTGAATATACAGAGCCGAATCCTCCTTTACCAATTTCTTTAACATCAGATAATCTATC